AAGACACTCTCACCGTTAGTTCAGGTAATACTAGATTCATTTTCTTTTTTCTCAAAAGGAAAAGAAAACAACCTGAAAACACAGAAACCAGCACACTGATAAAACACAGGTCTCTTACCATAGTTTATCCTAGGTACAGACTGAATTCATTTATCCATCACTTACTAGCCCCTATTTCCAGGCTACACCCCAGCACTGGACTTGGCTGGCACTTGAACATTTCCTCAGCTCATGCTGAGGTGAATCTAATCAATATCCCTGCCAGGTTTAGTAGGATATGGGGGAACATCATGAAACCTGCTCCCCCAGATGTTTGGAAAAGAGGGTCAAGTCCTTCTCAGACCCAGTCTTCTCCTTGGAGAAAGATGGACTCTACTGATTTGGCTCCCTGGTCCCTGTACCCCACTTAGGTTCATGGAGGCTTAAGAATGCATTCTAATTTCTCTACCCCAAACTCCTAAAAACTGCTGGGGGAGAGGACATTGAGTGGTGTTACTGAAAGACCTATAAGTAAAGGACATTCTCAGATCAATGATATTTTACCTACCACTAAAAGACTCAAAAATATATCCTTTGTATGGAAGAGACTTGTCTAAATCTTTGTGCTTCCTCCACAACAGGAGATTGGTTAAATGGATTATGGCATCTCTGTACAATGAAATGCTATGTATGATGCTATAGAATAAATTTGACAGAAAAATGCACCAGTATAACATTAAGTGAAAAAGCAGATTATGAAATGGGATAAAGAATCAGGTTTTAATTAATTAGGACTAACATTTATTGAAGTTTGAATGAGCATGTATGCAAGCAAAGCACAAAAAAGTGTTTTATATGAATTATTTTATATAAGTGAAAAATCTTATGATATGCATAGTATTTGCTTTTCATAGAAACTGAGGCACTAAGGTTAAGTCATTTGCCATAGTCTACTTAAGTGGCAGAGCTGAGGTTCAGACATGTTAGGTTCAAGAGCCCAAACTCTTTAACAGTGATACCATATATATGGCTATGTCTGTAAAGAAAAAAAAAGTCAAGGAAGATGGACACCAACATAACAGTTAACAGTGTTTATTTCTGGGTGGTGAGATTATGAGTGACTTTTATTCCCTTTATAATTTCCTCTGAAAGTTGCATGATTTATCTGGATATTTTCACAACCAGGAAAAAGAAGAAACCAATTTCCATTTTGAAAAAAAAAAAAAACAATAAGCCATTGTTCCTAGTGGGTAGATAGCAAACTTCTGAGAGTGGGGAAATATCTTAATGATTACAAGTACTCTAGAAATTGCCACCTGGTTGTCTAGAATGAATAAATAATATTTTCTGAATGTATGCAAATATGGTCACGATATATACACACAATAGCTTTGATTTATCATATATTCCTCAATTGAGATAAGAATACAATTATTATATGGAGGTCCTTGACATTTTAAACATTAAAATACTAAAGCAAGGGCTGGAATCTGGTGCTAAACCGAGTGATTCATATTTAGATCAACTTTCTGTAGCTTGAGTACTTCTCAACAACTTACCTCCATTTTCTGGGGAGAGAGCAGGAGGAAATAGAGGGGAAAAACTGATAATTCACACATTATTAAAACTTAACCAAGGAGGCTTGCTTCCTGGAGATGACAATTTACAAGGATGAGAGCGTGTGGAGAGGGAGTTGGTGCAGGCCCACAACATTCTCTCCCGGAAAGACAGAGTGCTAAGTTTCCCTGTATTGCCAGGGATAAGGCCCTGCCCTCAACTACAGGGATGTCAACACATCAGCAGGGTAGTGGTGCTGCAATGTCTGAGTGCTAATGCTTGCTCTAGGGCCTGACTGATTTCTAATCAGCAAGCACTTGGGGGTAAGAGAGGCAAAGTATGAGGAGCTTTCTTTTTTGCCACACTGCCTCAAACGTCAACACCTGCTTCCTTTTTCTCATTCATTCTTCTCCCCTTTTGTAATGAGCCCTTTGACCTCTATTACTGTACAGCCTATTGTCCCCTGAAGTCTCAGGACAAACTCTCTCATAGGACTCCAGTAATCTCATTACATGTAAGAAACCATCTGATCACAGCCCTCAAAACTAAAATACTCACTGATTATTCACTCAACATGGAGGGCCTAGGATTTTCTAGGTAGTAAGAACAGTTACAGTGACAAATACGATATGGTCCCAATTAATTTAGGTTCATACAATCTTCAGGTGTGAAAAGCAAAAAACAACACACAAATACACACACAGCCTGATTTGCCTTAATGGGCATAAAGTTACAAGGTAAGTGACGGGAATCAGAGATGAATGAGGGTTTTGTCCTTCTTATTTACTTTGGCCTATATTCAGAACTCAGCTAGGGACCAGGCTCCATAACCCACCCCTGATCATGGATCTGGTGCTGAGGCCTAGAAGACTGATCTACTCCAAAGAAAAACAGTCTTTAGTAAGGCAAAGTCATGAAGAAAAAAAGGATATTAGGAAAGGAAATCATTCTATAATAAAAGCAAATTAAGATCTTGCCAAAGGGATCAGACCCAAATCCTACCCAGTCTTTGAATCCAGTTGCCAATCTGCGGGAAATATAGAAGGACATGTGGATCCAGACTGGGAAATTCTAAAGATCAAATGTTGTGGGTTCTTCAATAGCTAACTCTGAAGGTAAGGAACAGATGGAGGGGGGAACCTGAACATTAAAACAGACTTGAACTCTTCAAAGGTGCCAAGATGAAGAAAGACAAGGAATTGTCACAGATTGGAAGACACTAAGAAGATATGATGGTTAAATGCAATGTTGAATCCCAATGGGGTTCTGGAACATAAAATGGACATGTATGAAAAAACGGGTGCAATTCAAATAAAATCTGGGGAGTTTAGTTAATAAAAATGCATTCATATTGATTTCCTAGTTGCAATAAACACAACATAGTCACATAATGTGTTAGGATAAAGGGGAAGCTGGTGAAAGGTACAGAGAATTCTCTATATTACCTTTGCAACCATCCTCATCAATCTAAAATTATTTCAAAATTAAAAAGAATATTTAAAGGACAGGTAAATTTTTTTAAATGGGCAAGAACAAACCATTAGGGAAGTATATATGGATATGAAAAAAACACAGAAAAATAAGAAAATAATGACTTTAAATGTCAAGATAAAGATTACTTTGGGAGGAAGATGGTTGTGATGGAATGGGGCACATGGAGAGCTTTCTGGAGTGGTTAGGAAATTTCTACTTCCTTACTTAGCAGTGATTACTAGGTGGGTTTTTGTTGTTGTTGCTTTGTAGTACTGAGGATTGAAATCAGGGCCTCACACATGCTAGGCAAGTACTCTACCACTGATTTACACTCCTAGCCTTTTTATTTATTTTTGTTGTTGTAGATAGAATATTTTTGACTTTATTATTTTTTAATGTGGAACTGCTGAGGATTGAACCCAGTGTCTCAGTGGCAAGAACTCAGTCACTGAGCTACAACCCCAGCCACATCCCTAGCCTTTTTAAAATTTGATATTTTTTTTTAGTACCAGGGATTGAATCCAGGGACACTCAACTGCTAAGCCACATTCACAGCCCTTGTTTATATTTTATTTAGAGACAGGGTCTCACTGAATTGCTTAGGGCCTTGCTAAATTGCTGAGGCTGGCTTTAAACTCATGATCCTTCAGCCTCAGATTCCTAGGCTGCTAGGATTATAGGCATGTGCCACCATGTAAAATTTGATTTTGAAGCAGAGTCTTGCTAAATTGTAGAGGCTGGCCTCAAACTTGTGATCATCTTGCCTCAGACACCCAAGTAGCTGGGATTACAGGTGTGTGCCACCACACCCAGCTTATAAGGTTTTTTAATCTAATAATAATTTATTAAGGGGCTGAAGTTGTGGCTCAGCAGTAGAGTGCTCGCCTAGCACATGCAAGGCCCTGGGTTAGATCCTCAGCACCACATAAAAATACATAAATAAAATAAAGGTATTGTGTCCTACTACAACTAAGAAATAAATATTTAAAAAATAATTTATTAAGCTATACATTTGTTGTAAGTATTTTTATTTTGTCTCTAAGTTCTATTTTACAATGAGAAAGAGAAAAAAAACAAGAAAGAGAGATGCATAACATCCAAAGATAACCAATGAACCTTCTTTAGAGTGAACTATAAAGACATTTGAACACAGATTTGGTATAGATGCTGTTAGGAAACTATCACCTTTAGCAAATCTAAATCTTTAGGAAACTGTTAAGATTTGCTAAAGGTGATAGTTGTGGTATTATTATGGAAGAGAATATCTGTATTTTTGTAGATGCATAATGAAGTACTTAGGTATAAAATATCTGATGGTTTAGAATTGTGCAAAATACTCCCCCAAAAAGGTTGGAGGTGGGGAGATAGATGAAATCAGTATGACAAAAGTTTAATATATATTTTTTATGTTGTTGTTTCCTTAGGTTTTGGGTTTTGGTCTTTCTTTCTTTTTTTCAGTGCTAGGATTGAACAGTAGTTGCTGAAGACGAACATGAAATTTTGTTGCATTGTCTAGTTTTGTGTATATTTGGAAATTTTTATATTAAAAGTAATGGGGGTAGGGTATACCAAAACTGGACTACTTCAGGGCAGCAGAGACCTAATCACTGGTGTTCCTCACCCCCATGACTTCTTCAGAACTTTTTCCCCACCAATCATCTCCCTAAACTCATAACCCCTATGGTCTCTGAGTGCCCTTTGAAGGGGCTTTCCCCTTTTTGGGTCTTTGGGTCAATTGGACAAGATGGCAGTTATTCTCCCCTTTCTCCAGTCTGATGTCCTAATAATCTCAGGAAAGAGAGTCAAAGGGCAGATGGGCAGGGCCTGACCTGATGGGGCAGTCCTCAGTACTCTAGAGCCTGCCCCTACAGTGGGTGGGAGTGAGGTAGGACAAGGAGGGGAGAGGGCAGGCACCAACTCCTCATAGTCATTATATACATTCACTATTGAGTGAGCTTCTAGAGACTCACCTTTCTACCTTTCCTTGGAACACTGCTCTGGGATCTTTGTCTCCCTTAGGCTCCTGGGCATCATGCCTTGTTCTAAGCAGCCTAATCACTTCCAGAGTCTGAGTCTTCTGCACTGGCCCTTGAGCTACCTTGCCATCTGTAAGTACTGACCTAGGACCTAGCAAGAAGCCCAAGTCAGAAGACAGGGCCAGATCTTGGGTGATTTCATGGGAAGTCTCATTTCCAGACTTTTGATCAGTTGAGATGGTACTAGAGAGTAGAGTCAAGGAATCTCTGGAGAAGGAACAGATACAGCCCCAGGGCCTAGTGAGAGAAGGGGAGGAGGTGGCACAGGGTCATGATGGACATGAGTTATCCAAGTAATTTCAGTTACTTCTTAACCCTCCCTATCTAGAGAGGAGAAATGAGACCCAGGGAGTGCTCCCTTACAATAATATGGAGTGGGACAGAGAACCCCTTAGTATTACAGAGTTAGAGAAGTATAGTCTGTGTTTGAACCACAGAATTTTCTACTCTGGGAGAGGGGTGGTAGCATGAGGGAGGAGAATGGAAGGACTGGTAAATGAGCAAAAGGACAAGAATGGTGGGTAGGAAACAGCAGAGAGATGGAGATGTTAGGTGGAGCAGGTATAGAGAGATGGATAGTATAGATGTAAGGGAGAGTGGGTTAGTGGCTTAACAAGGGTTCATGGATGATGGGTAGGAAGGGAGATGGGAGACAAGAAGAAAAAAATGTTTTCCTAATGGGGGTGGAAGTAAAAAAAAATAAAGCTGGTGGCAAGAAGAGATCAGGAGTATGGGATGGTGACTGAGTAGGGAGGTAGAGGGAAAGGGACAAGGAATAGGAAGAGAAGTAAGACTTGTATATGGTAAATGATAGAAGAAATTTTTGAAGCATGGGTAGCCATGGATGATGGATGGTCAGAGCCTGGAATATGCTGAGGGCCAGTCCCAGAATTATGGGTAGTACAAAGAGCTGGTAATGGGACTAGACATGGTTAAGTTCTGCGGGCACTACAAATTTGGTCTGACATGATCCCTCGTCAGTTTGGATCTTGCAGCCATTGTTCTTTTACCTGCTGTTTACATCCTTGTGGCCACTGCCAGCATTTTACTTTGTCTGGTTGTTCTTGGACTGGAAGACCCCAGAGCAAGGTAAGACTAGTGGACCTAGAAGAAATGCTCCATCTTAACCTATACCCCTGCATGCTGACTCCTGCACATCATACCTTCCTCCAAGTTCTCAGAGCCACAAGAGCGACACCAGCCAGGACATTCCTAGGTCTCTTCCTTCCCACCTCTCTAGCAGAGCCATGACCCTTCCAAGCTGCCTGGGAAGCCTGGGTAAGTGAGAGTTATGGGGTGGCACATACTGATATCATCTCCTTCTGGCATTTTTGTCTCAGGTGGCAGGCGTTCAGCCTGGGTAAGGAACTGGTGTGTCTGGACTCACATCAGGGACTATTTCCCCATTACAGTAAGTGTCTCTTATTCAATGTCCTATACAGATTCCCAAATTCCAGTATTTGTTATTTATACCAAATAACTAGGGTTGTCCATAAGGAAGATAAGCATCTTAGAGGAGTTTCAGTCCATGTTAGATAACCTCAGGATCCTCTGCACTCTGCTAGGATATTTTGGACACCTTTGGCATAACCTGCCAGATGACACAGATGGAGGGCAAATAGAGTTCAGTTCAATTTAACAAACATGAATCTAAATCTTCTTCTGACTCGCTTATTTGGGGTAAAGTGGAGTAGATAGGATGCAATTCTCTGCCATCAAGGAGCTCACATCTAATGGGAAAGACAGATGCATATATAATCACAGTTTGCTACAAGGCATAGAAGTAGTTCAGATGGAGGATACTAAGAAAAGGTTTCCCAGAGATGGCAAAATGTATACAGGGTATTCAAGGTTCAATAAAAGTCACCTAGGTCAATACTAAAAGGTTTTGTGGGGAGACAATACCAGGAAGAGGTTCCAGAAATGTACTGTTCTGCTCATTCTCTGGGCACTCTTTGCAGAGGATGATGACTGCTCTGATTTTTATTTTTATTTATTTTCTAATTCTAAAGAATTTATTTGAGGATTGAGGCTGTAGCTCAGAGGCAGAGCACTTGACTAGCATGCATGAGGCACTGGATTCGATCCTCAGCACCACATAAAAATAAGTAAAGGCATCTATAAAAAATTTACAAATATAAAAAAATTTTTAAAAAGGAATTTATTTGAACAGAGATTCATGAATTCTGCCCCAATTTTTAGAACAGAGCTTCCTGGCCTGCATCAGGTTACAGGACTCAAAGAAAATGACAGCATGTATCAAGAACACTGACATAGATGGCTGAGAGTACTTAATGGCCACAGGCAAGAAACTTGGGAGTTCTAGCTGGCCTAGATTCTGCCCTGTTGCCCCAGGAAAGAGAAGCCCAACACCTGGGCCTCATGAAACCCATATATGTTCTATCTATTGGAAAGCTGTTTCAGAAAGCACCTAGATTCCTGAATGTCTTCACCTTGGTTTTTCCATGTGAGCTCATTCCAATCTTTTGGCATTTCTCTCCATGACTACAGATCCTGAAGACTAAAGACCTGCCACCCCAGCACAACTACCTCATGGGGGTTCACCCTCATGGTCTCCTGACCTTCGGTGCCTTCTGTAACTTCTGCACAGAGGCCACAGGCTTCTCGAAGACCTTCCCGGGCATCACTCCTCATTTGGCCACTCTGTCCTGGTTTTTCAAGATCCCCCTTATCAGGGATTATCTCATGGCCAAAGGTGCTTCTGATAACACTCACTGGAGCTTCTGATCCATTTCCATGCTTAGAAATATCCATTTTAAGCCCCCTTTCCCCATAATCACAGCACAGTAGTCCAAAGCATATTTTCTGGAACTAATCTACCTGGGTTTGAATCTTCCTGGTTCTGTTACTTGCTGTGTGATCTTGCACAAATTAGATAATCTCTGCTGACCTCAGTATCCTCATCTGTAAAATGGTGCTAATAGTAATAATCTGACCACAGACATGGTATGGTGACTAAATTGTAAGTGAAGCATTCAATATAATGCCTGGCACAGAGTATGTGCTCAACAGACAATAGCTGCTGTTATCACGAAAATAATAGAATCCAAGTTGGGATTCTGCAAATCCTCTGGTTATCCCACTAAAAATCTTTCTGCTGCAGCTTCCACCCAGTGCCTCCTTCAAAATGGATATATTGCCTCAAAGTGAAATGTGCCCACAGCCCTCTTCTCTCCTAATCAGTTTGCTCCTGTCTCTGCTTGATTCTCTCCAGGTGTGTGCTCTGTGAGCCAGCCAGCCATCGACTACCTGCTGAGCCATGGCACTGGCAACCTCGTGGGCATTGTAGTGGGAGGAGTGGGAGAGGCCCTGCAAAGTGTGCCCAACACCACCACTCTCATCCTCCAGAAGCGCAAGGGGTTTGTTCGTACAGCCCTCCAGCATGGGTAGGTGTCCTCCTCAGAGGAGTGGGTCACCCTGCCTGAGAAGCATGACCCTGTAGGTTATTCCAAGATGAATCTCATACAATCTTTCCCTCAAGGAACTTACAAATGAGTAGGAAAATGGGTGTAGAATTTCCAAAAGGTTTATGTCATCCACTCTTTCTGAGCTAGCTGGACCAGTTCCCAGAAACCAAACCATAAGCCCAGGTTCAATGTCAGGGGCTAGGGCTGCCTTAGTATACTGATGATACCCACGTGATCTCTATAATGACTGATAGATATAATCTTCATCTGTCTATTAATGGGAAGTGCAGAAGGCATTACAGTTGAGTGAGTTTGTGTGTAGGAGCTGATTTAAAATACTTGTGGCACAGGCTGGTGTGTAGCTCAGTAGTAGACAGCTTGCCTAGTATGAACAAGGCTCTGGGTTCTTTCCACAGCACTGCAAATAATAATAATTAATAAATCATATCCTGACTCCATGACATACAGTGCACCCTGGGGTAGGTTACTTAACCATTCTGAGGCTTCATGTTTTCATCTTCATAATGTGACTACTAATCATTGTCACTGTTCCATAGGTGATTGTGGGCTTTGAAAAAATTCATCCACATAAAGCACCTACCATGTGCCTGGCATATAATAAGTGACATGTAAGCCACTCTGACTTAAGAGATACACAGAAGGAATCTGATGCTGAAGGTATAGGGTGCCTCCATTAGTTTAGCATCCAGCTCCCCAGAGAGAGGGATGATTATCCTATTGTACACTGAAGAGAAGAGGGAAGTGTATCTAAGGATCTTACCCAAGAACCTGCTATCAGACTGGAATAGGATGCAGGTGAGAGAGCTCTGAGCTTGAACAGGGAGTCCTGGATTCTAGTTGAAGTCCTGCCATACCCCGACTGTCTGAATGAACTTTCCCTTTTGAAAATGGGCCCTGGATCCCCCACTGTGTCCTCCATTGTCTTTGCTATGAGGAGCCAGTAAGGTAACATATGTCAAGGTGCTGAGAGATTGCTATTAGTAACTCACGAAGATGTGTACAACAAAGAGTGTTTTTTTTTTTTTTATTCTTCTCTCATTTAAGGAACTTAAGGAGCCTGATTCTCTACCTAGGGCACTGTTCAGGGTAGATTATCATATTCTCTGGAAGGGAAACAATTTTTCTCTGCTCTAATCCCACAATCTAATATCTTATGCATAGTCCCCTTGAGTGAGGAACATATCATATATGTGTATCTATGCAAAGGTACCCTCATCTTCTCTATGATTTCTAACCGAAAGAGTCAGGTGTTCCCCTCCTTGGCACCTCCTAGAAGATTTTCACAGTGTGGGTCTCTGGGGATCTCTACCAAACTCCTCTTCCCTCCCTGCATCCCCATATCTTGTCCTTGTAATACTAGCCCAAAGAAAACACTCTCTCTGGCCTCAAAAATTTCAGGAAAAAAAGATACTAAATATCTTTTTTTTTCCTGAAGTCCTGTTTGCACTACACATAAATATGTGTAGTGCAAACAGGATTGTTTTAAGTCACTGGGATTTTATCATAATAGATGGGAGCCCATCAAGTGCAGTGCATACACCTGTAGTCCTAACAACTCAAAGGCTGGGGTAGTAGGACTCAAGTTTGAGGCCTCAGCAACTTAGCAAGAACCTTAGCAACTTATTGAGACCTCGTCTCAAAAAAAGAATAAAGGACTGGGGATGTAGCTTAGTGGTAAATTGCCCCTGGATACCACAGTACCCCCCAAGAAAGATGGGAGCCTGGCTATGAATAAATGTTCTTTCAGGGAGACTCCCATCCTGGTCTGTGTTTGGGAAGTAAATTGGGTTTTTCCTACAGGGCTCATCTGGTCCCAACCTTCACATTTGGAGAAACTGAGGTGTATGACCAGGTGGTATTCCATCAGGACAGCAGGATGTACAAATTCCAGAGCTTCTTCCGCCGTATCTTTGGTTTCTATTTTTGTGTCTTCTATGGACAAGGCTTCCGTCAAGGCTCCCTTGGGCTCCTACCATACAGCCGGCCTATTGTCACAGTGGGTGAGTTCTGCTCTCAGCTCCAAGGTCACTACACCTCTTTTGCAACCTCTACATCAGCCTCCCCACCACCCAGCCTCCACCTGCTTCCTCTGGTGGTAGTGGTGGAAAAACTGGGAGTTGACTTGGAGTGCCAGAGGGTGGGGCCCAGGAAAGGAGAGAAAGGAAGAGAAGATTCTAGCATATTCACCCTTCTCTTTTCCCATTTCTCTTGGCAGTTGGTGAGCCTCTGCCACTTCCCCAAATTGAAAAGCCAAGCCAGGAGATAGTGGACAAATACCACGCACTCTATATGGATGCACTGCACACACTTTTTGACCAGCATAAGACCCAATATGGCTGCTCAGATGCACAGAAGCTGCTTTTCTTGTAACTGAAGAGACTATGTACCTGAGTGCATGTAAGAGCACCTGCCTTGGAGACGGGACTCACCTGCTGCTAACATAAGAAATGGAAGGAAGGCTGTGTGTGCTAGGGAAGGGCATTAGGAATCCTAGCCACAGTGCTGCCTTCTCAGGAGTTGACTCTGAGGAGCCTCACTTTATTCTCCTGGCTCTCCTCTCTGAGCCTGACACCCCAGGTTCTGAAGAACTCAAATGAAGGCTATGCAGCCCCTATTCCATTTATAAAAATCTTAATACAATTTTAAAATTGAGATATAATTTGCATATCATATGTTTATTTGCTTAAAAGTGCAAAGGTCAGCAGTGTTTAGTATATTCAGAGTTGTATAATTGCCACCATTATCTAGTTTGGGAATTTTTTCAGCATTCTCAAAAAAGCCAGTAAACATTAGTAGTCAATGCCCACTCCCCCCAGCCCCTGATGACCAGTCATCTATTTTCTGTCTCTATAAACTTGCCAATTTTGAGCATTTCATATAAATAGAACAATACAATATGTGTCTTTTGTGGTTGTTTTTCAAGACTCCTCCACGTCACTGCATAAATTTTATGGCTGAATAATATTCCAGTGTTCATATATACCACATTTTGACTACCATTCAGAAGTTGATGGAAATCTGGGCTGTTTCACCTTTTTAGCTATTATATATAGTGCTAGTATAAACATTCATGTACAAGTTTTTGTGTGAGAATCTACTGTCCTCAAATATGAAGTCTTCCTGGGAGTGGAGGCACATACTTGTAATCCCAGCGGCTCAGGAGGCTGTGGCAGGAGGATCACAAGTTCAAAGCTAGATTAATCAATTTAGTGAGGCCCTAAGCAACTTAGTGATACTCTGTCTCAAAATGGAAAATAAAAAAGGGCTGGGGATGTGGCTCAATGGTTAAGCAACCCTGGATTCAATCCCCAGTACCAAAAAAATACCAAGTCTTACTTTATGCCTGCATCACTACCAAGCATGCCTTTTGGATAGATAAAAGGTACCTTACTCAGGATCATTTTTCAGTTGGCATAGGCATGTGCATAGGTCACCTTGTCCTTATTATGATCCCTTGACTTCATAATCTCAAGGTATTTGCAACCATCCACTTGATATGTACGTTTTTAGTCCTTACTAAATTCTGTTAAAAAGTTTCTAAAGGCTACATTCTACAATATAAAAAGAGTAAATAAAAACATAGATGTCTCTTCCTTCACAAGGCAACCATATGAGGTACATTGCAAATGCAAATGACAAAATGCTCAGAGACCATTTATACTATTAGCCTTTTTTTTCTTCACTTAACTCTCTAATATTGGGCCTTGGTGGGATCTCACCCTCTTCTCTCACTTTATATTGCCTCAGGTCTGAAATATGTATTTTTAAAATATTTATTTTTTAGGTGTAGATGGATACAACACAATGCCTTTATTTTTATGTGGTGCTGAGGATCGAACCTGGGTCCCGCCTGTGCTAGGCGAGGCTCTACTGCTGAGCCACAATCCCAGCCCCCTGAAATATGTATTTCTAATCCAGTTTTACCTTGTAAGCAATAGCCCAATATATCCAATTTAGTAATTTGATCAAAATTGCTGGGGATCAAACACCTGACTCTCAGTGTACCCAATACCAGGTAAATCATCTCTCCTCCCAACTTTCTATCTTATCGTCAAGTCCTGTCAAATTTACCACCTTAATATTAATCAAACCAGTTGGGTGTGGTGATACACGCCTATAATCCCATTGGCTCTAGAGGCTGAGACAGGAGGATCGTGAGTTCAAAGCCAGCCTCAGCAAAAGCGAGGTGCTAAGCTAACCCAGTGAGACCCTGTCTCTAAATAAAATACAAAATAGGTCTGGGGATGTGGCTCAGTGGTTGAGTGCCTCTGAGTTCAATCCCTGGTACCCACTCCCAAAATATTAATCAAACCAGTGCCCTTTCTCCTTCTCTGCTTCACCACCTAGTCAAGGCCCTCACCAAAATTCCTTGACAATTTTTATTCTATTCTAGTAAATTTCACTCTAATCTCACCATCCAGCAGACTTCTTCCAGGGTAATCTTGCTAAAACTTAAATCCAACACGTCACTTTGCTGCTTAAAATACATTATTGTTCCTAAAATGCTTCTACCAGAATATCCTAAATTGTGCTGTATGTACCAATAACATTCCTTAGTCATTAATGATTAATGCACACACAAAAAAATATTGGTAAGATTAAATTTGGTGGTTGATGGATTAAATAAAGTTAGATATATTTATTAATGTATTTAATAGTCTTTTAAAATTTGTTTAGCTGTAGATGGACACAATCCCTTTATTTTACTTATTTATTTTTGTGCAGTGCTGAGGATCAAACCCAGTGCCTCACATGTGCTAGGCAAGTGTTCTACCACTGAGCTACAACCTCAGGCTATATTTCATAGTCTTTATTATACTAATGGACATTGTGATTTTCCAAAAGGGATAATGTACTATTTCCCAGTGTATCTGAAAATGGAACCCTTGTTTCAAATAAAATCTCATGGAACATTTAGAGTTCCTATAGATATAGTCTCAAAAAAACTGCTCTATAGGATAAAGTTCAAACTCTTCAGTATGGCAGAGAAAGATGCTGTTACTACAGGAAAGGTGGCTGATTTGGTTTGGGAGCCTATCAGATTGGGAGATGCCTTTTTAGGAGTTGTTGTATTCATAGACCAAATCAAAACTTCATAGGAAATGCTCAGAAGGTAACTGATTAAAATGGAAATTGGATTTGAATCATTGCCACCTGTTTTGGTTGTTTCTTCCAGGAAGGATAAATGAGAGAAGCATTTTCCAGAAAAGTCCCAAGAGCACACATAGGAACAAGGCTATCTGGTTTCATGGTCATTGCTTCCTAGAAAAGTAAAAGAACAGATGGATGGCAGTTAAAGCCTTTGCTTTCTTAATAGCATCAGCCAGTTTCTCCTCCTCAAAAATTCAGTCCCCATATCTTTTCTCTTCATCCACATCCTCTCCCCCACAATGCAATCTGTCTCCCTCTGCCTCTCTCCACATCTCTGTAATGTTTTTGAGATACCCTAATACTTCAAACATTTGCTCCATACTCTAAATATCAGAGTGAATTCCTTTGTGAACACCAGCAAAGGATTAATCATGGAATGAATGTAATTTGAAAGGAACATTTCCAATGATTGGCCAGGATAGTGCCCCCTAGTGGCCACTAGGTAATGGTGGAGGCAGAAAGTGAGCAGACAACTTAAGTGATGTCCAGAGGGCTCCCATAGAGGGGAGAGCTGTACTTGCCATGGTTTTAGAACCAGGCAATCAATCAGAGAGTTCAATACCTCCCTACACACAGGGGTCATAATGTTGATTGGGCCATCATGAAGGCCGTTGACAGTCCCTTATAATCTGGTCCCTATTAATCTTTTCAGACTTACCTCTGACATCATGATCTGAAGTAGTACTTTGGACAATATCACGTTTTCTAAACATATTCACATCTCATTTTTTCTGCTCATGTTCTCTCTATGTGGTAAAGTGTACTAATATTATAAATCCACATTGAATATCACCTTCTCAGTGAAGCCTTCAACAAGCAAAATTATCCTTTCTTTATTCTTCTATAATGTGTTGTATCTACTATGGGATACATTATATTATATTATATTATATTATATTATAGCATAATTATTTGCTCATAGGCCAGTCTATCCTTCTAGTCTGAGAGCTTTTTGAGAACAAAAACTATGCCATAATTATTGAAGCATTTCCAATGTCTAGAGTAGGGCCTGGTATGTGAGCCACTATATCTATTTCCATGTATTATCAGGAAGGAATAGAAGGAGCTTCATAAGAGATTTCATAGAAGAAAAGCATTAATGAGATAAAATCAGGACATTTGGGTCAAAAATGTGCTAGATAACAAAAGTCTAATAAGCTAAATCAGATGGGAAAAAAGCTACATAAAAGAAAACCTGGTAGAAGACTGGAGAAATCTAAACTTATCATAAATATTTGAAAACTGAAGATATAATATAGCCTCAGCAATCTGCAAGCAAACTTCTATAACTGAAGCTCTTTGAACACAGGAACTATAAGTGTGTAGCTCATCTCTGTATTCCCACCCTTTAGCACAGTACCTGACTCATTGTGGATGCTTAAGAATTAATTGTTGAATGAATGAATCCCAAATACCCATGATATTGGCAATTTCTAATTTTTTCTAAAGAAAGTAACTTAGCTAGTGATGACCTAAACCATAAAAATATTTAAACTTTGTTTAGTCACTCTCTATGCATGGTTTAAGCACAGTAAGGGCAGGAAGGAATTGGGTTCTTACCATATGGAAATCATAGAGTCTCAGGATGTATGTCTTGGGATGTATTTCTCACACAATAAGGATCTGCTATATAACATAAATGGAAACCTTAACACTCTGCTTTTGGAATATAGCAAATATAGTGGACAAAAACATGACTTTAAAAAGGTGTGGGCTGGAAGCCCAGGCACATGCCTGTAATCCCAGCAGCTTGGGAGGCTAACAAAGGAGGACCACAAGTTCAAAGCTTCAGCAATTTACCAAGACCTTTTCTCAAAAATAAACAACAACAACAACAACAAAATGGGCTGGGGATGTGGCTCAGTGGTTAAGTGCCCATTGGTTCAATCCCTCATACCAAAAAAAAATGTATATATATATATATATATATATATATATACACACACACACACACACATACACACACACACATAGAAAAGTTATGTACAATCAGAAGAATGGGATCCTAATTAGAATAAGTTATGCTACATGTATATATGTCAAAATACACTCTACTGTCACGTAGATCTAAAAGGAACAAATTAAAAACAAGAAAGCTGAATTTGAAAAGAGTTTTTTAAAAATAAAAAAAAGTGTGAGAGTGGTGTAAGGTGGCAAGTGTTGACAGTCACAGCTACTCTGGAAGCTAAGAAGGGATCACTTGAGCCCAGGAATTGGAGACCAACCTAGGCAACACAGCAAGACACTGTCTCAAGACAAAAATGTATGGAGGACTGGGGGTGTAGTTCAGTGGTAGAGCACTTCCCTAGCATGTACAAGGCCCTCAGTTCCACCTCCAACTCTGCAAATGAGAAACTATGGAGATGAATAATACAACAAACACTGTAAACTAGGCTATCAAATGATAAGAATATAGTGGATAAGGACAAGGAATTATACTTTCTTTACAAATGTATATGAACCACTCACAATTTTTAAATATATATATTTAGTTGTAGATGGACATAATTCATTTATTCATTTATCTTTATGTGGTGCTGAGGATCAAACCCAGGGCCTCACACATGCTAGGTGAGCACTCTACCACTGAGCCACCCCAACTGCCACCACCAGCTTCCACAAGCCTCTCTCCCCCACACCAGCCTCTCAACCTCCCACAATCCTCCTGCTCTTGAGGCCGATTGGCTGG